CGAGCATGTATGTGCGTACGTATGTGCCTGTGTGCGGGTATGTAGACGTGAAACACAGCATGCGTGTGGCAGCCCTGAGACGCTATCACTGAGGAGACGTGCAGAGCCAGCGCACGAGGAAGAGGGAGAGGCGTCTGGCCCCGTGTGCACAGTCAGGATCCTCTGAAATCCAGCTCCCGCGTCTGCCATCCTGCGGGACTTGTCTTCTCCTTTGTGCTTTGTTCCCTGCACATATGGATCATTGACAAAAAAAAACTCCAGGGATGTTTTTCCATGGCCTTTGATCCTGGCAAAACCATGGGAACATTGACCGTTTCATAACAAAGCCTACTTTGTTCACAGCCTCAGTGACGGAATTCTTTAAACTGACCCTTCGGAGTCAGTAAGGAACTAAGGGGGGGTGGGGAGCATGTAGTTAAGGGTCCAACTGCTGCCCAACATTGGCTGCTTCCAAACTCGCAGCCTCCCCTCGGGGAAGTTGCTGATGACTGCTTTTGTAGAGTGTCAGGTGCCATCGGGTCAGGTCCCACTCTTCCAGCAAGCCGGCGTGGACATGGAAGGAAACTGCCCGGTCCTGCGTCACCCTCGTCCTCGCTCTTGTGTAGGGGCCCACTGCAGCCACTATGTCAGTCCGTCTTGTGGAAGGCCTGCCCCTTGTCCACTGCCCCTCTTTTACCAAGCTTAGGGCCCTTTTCCAGCACTGGTTCACAATACCCTGTCCAAAGGGTGGGCGACAGTCTGGCCGCCCTCACTTGTGAGGGGCACGCTGGCTGTACTTCTTCCAAGGGCAGATGTGCTGCTCTTTTGGCAGTCCACGGTGCTATTAATAGTCATTGCCAGCACCATCGTTCAAAGACACCATGGGCCCTGCTTCAGCCTTCCTTACTCCATGTGTAACTGTCCACCTGCACGGGAGGCAGTTGAAAATACCATGGTTTGCATCAGAACAAAAAAGCATAGTGAGTGAGGGGAAGTGCAGAGTGGAGACCCAAAGCCCATCTGTAGGCCACTGGACATCCCCTTACAGAAGCGTCTCGGGGAGGAGACAGCCAGTCAGGGTGCAATGTAGAAACGATGAAACATACAACTTTCTTCTAGTTCCTAAATGATACCTCCCCACCCACTATCATGATCCCAATTCTACCTTACAAATCTGGCTAGACCAGAGGATATACACTGGTACAGATAGGAACTGGAAACAGGGAAGCCAGGGCGGATGAGTGTGAGTGGCGATACTGGGAGGGTGGGTTGGAAAGAGGGAACCGATTCAAGGATCTACATATAACCTCCTTCCTGGGGGATGGACAACAGAAAAAATGGGTGAAGGGAGACGTCGGACAGTGCAAGATATGACAGAATAATAAGAGTTCATGAGGAAGGAGGGGAAAAAAAGCTGATGCCAGGGGCTTCGGTGGAGAGCAAATGTTTTGAGAATGATGAGGGCAATGAATGTACAAATGTGCTGAACACAATTGATGTGGGTATGGATTGTGATAAGAGTTGTATGAGCCCCTAATAAAACGATTTCAAAAAGAAAAAAAATACCATGGTTTGGAAACCCCGTGGGGCAGTTGCATTCTGTCCTCTCCATGGGTTGGTTGGCTTCTTTTCCTCAGCACTTTGTACATATTTCTGAGAGATGTTTGCTCTGCCGTCCCGCTTGCTCTGTGCTGGTAAACAAGACCCAGAGAGCAGGCAGGCCAGCATTTCTGTGACGAAAGCAGCCCGACAGACCATTGCTGCTGGTCTGCCTGTGCCCCTGCAAAATCGTCATCAGTGGCACGAGGTGGTACCTGAGTGAAGCAGCACTATTGAAGAGGCAGCGTGATAAAACCACTGGCAGTGTCCTGACTGCCTGTCTCATGTCATTTGTAGAACGTTGTGCTAGTCTGGGGACTTTAGAGAAACAAGTCCACAGAAATTCATGTATAAGAGAGAGTTTTATATAAAGGGTAAGTGCACATCAAGAAAGCATCCCAACCCAGTGCTGCCCTGTAGCGTTCCGGCCTGCGGGACACACGAGCAGGGCCCTGGAGGAAAAGGCGAACCTGGATGAAAGAAAGACACAGAGACGTGGAGCAAGTCAAAGCGCTGATCAAGCTCCTTTATTTGGGCAAAGCTCGGGGTATATATTTGCAGTGAAGAGGAACAGGGAGGTGCATATTTTAATAAGGTGTGCTGCATAACATCCAATCCAATATGTATATTATAATGAAGCACAAGAATGATAACCAATCAGCTGCAGGTTCTGGGTATATTAAAAGGGCGCGCAATAGTTCTCAAAGACGTCTGCATGCAAATTAAGGTTCATCAGGCGTATTGCCAAGTCCATCAAATTAGGCAGGGCCAGTTCCCCACACTGCCCAAGCCCACAAGTCCAACATTTGTTCCACACCAATCTACAAAGTCCTCCTCCATCTCACAAAACACACACTATGACGCCGACTGCAGGGGGAAAGCCAAATCAGTGAGCATGTAAGCATCTCAGCGCTGGCAGGGGTCTCCACACGGCTGCTCCAGCATCCAGGACTGCTCGGGGTAGGTCCATGTGGCTTCTCGTCACAGATGTCTTGCAGGAAGTGAGACTTGTCAGTTGAAGCAGGAGACTGGTTAAGGCAGCTGCACCCTGGTCCAACCATCAGAAAGCAAGAAAGGCGAGGCTCACCGAGCCATTTATCCCTCCACCCTTCAATTAACCTCATGTGTTTATCAGCCAGGTTGGCACAATAAACTAACTCAAACGTTGAAGAAAAAAAAAAGTTGAACTGTGAGAATCCGTGTGCGAGGCCTGCCCAGCAAATTCTAAGCAAGCCCCACCTTTCTCAAAATGAGGGCCCGGTGGAGGAATGCCTACAGCTAGTTGGCAAGGGGCCATGCCTGGGTGGGGAGCAGGTTGGAAGGAGTCAGGATGGTCTGGGAGGGTTGGTGGGTTTACAGGCAAGCCAAGTAGGTGAGGACTGGAAACACAAGGGACACACTAAGCCAAACCATAAGGCTGAGCTGACGTGCCTCATGGCCACCCAAGGCCCAGACCAGTGCTACCACAGCCTGGGTTCTGCTGCTGACCACTCAGCAGGGATGCCACAAATGAGTGTACCACCGCCTTAAGAGCAGGACTGGGCTTAACCTGAACTCACCCCCAACCCCCAGCACCAACCTTGGCTCCAAAACAGGTGCTTGCTGTTGGTGAACTGACAGTGAGGTGAGGGCGTTGGGCTGCCTTGTATGCAAATCAATCTCAAGTGGCTAGAAGAGAAAAACTCCCTTATCCAGTCTGGTCTGGGTGTGACTGGAAGGGACCAAGCCTCTGCTGGTGCCAGAACAACTGACCTGGTGACAAGCTCTGGGGTAGGGCACCATGGAGGGCCCACTGCAGTGGGACATGCAGATAATGGGGGTAAAGGTGAGGGGGCAGAATGTGCAAGACACGTGTGGCCAGAGGGGTCATGTGGCCCCACGTGAATGAAGGTTTAGTGTCTCAGAAGCTTGAGTTCCAGGACAGCGGCTAAGTCTCCAGGAGGCCGAGTTTCCCTCAGAGCCCCAATTCCAGGAGTATCACAGAGCTCTGCTCTGCAAGGGTTTGGGCAGGGGCATGATTCCACTTGTGTCTTATCCAAGTCACTTATGCCACTGTGGCTAATTGGATGCCAGTGGGCCCCTCTTAACATCAGTCTCCACAACTCTGAGACCAGAAGAACTAGATGGTACCCAGCTACCACTACCAACTGCTCTGAAAGGGATCATTCACATCAAAAGGCGCTGGATTGAGCAGGAGAACAAGATGGAACTGTATTCAAAATCCTAAGAGACTAACCAGGCTTACTGGTCAGATGGAGACCAGCCAGGCTTAAAGGTCAGATGGATACTGGCGAAGTCACCCCTCAGGTCTGGAAATGAACTCAGCCCATGGCTCGGTTTTCAGCTAAACAACAGGGAAGAATTCACACCTAAATCAACCACATGAGGTCAAGAGGCAGCCTTTACCTAAGGACAAAGTTCAGAAGGGTTAGCAGAAGCTTTGTGATTGTAGAGAAATACAGGAAGGGGGTGAGGGAGTCGCATTGCATTGAGGGAAGTGTCAATAAATGAGGTGAATCAAATGTGTGTGTTGTTGAATGTACAACTGATCCTTCACCCAATTCACAACATAAAGTTTAATTTTTTTTTAAAAAGCTAACAGAGAACTTTGAATGCTTTATATAAACTCATTTCATCCTCTGGGCTACAACGACATTTGGTCCGCACGATTATCTACCCCGC